GATGTGCAATGCCCAGATGACCACATGTGCAGTGAGTCCGGTAGCTAGGTACAGACAGGATGTGCAATGCCCATATGTCCACATGTGCAGTGAGGGTCGGTAGCTAGGTACAGACAGGATGTGCAATGCCCAGATGACCACATGTGCAGTGAGGGCCGGTAGCAAGGTACAGACAGGATGTGCAATGCCCAGATGTCCACATGTGCAGTGAGGGACGGTAGCTAGGTACAGACAGGATGTGCAATGCCCAGATGACCACATGTGCAGTGAGGGACGGTAGCTAGGTACAGACAGGATGTGCAATGCCCAGATGACCACATGTGAAGTGAGGGACGGTAGCTGGGTACAGACAGGATGTGCAATGCCCAGATGACCACATGTGCAGTGAGGGACGGTAGCTAGGTACAGACAGGATGTGCAATGCCCAGATGACCACATGTCTAGTGAAGGACGGTGGCTAGGTACAGACAGGATGTGCAATGCCCAGATGACCACATGTGCAGTTAGGGACGGTGGCTAGGTACAGACAGGATGTGCAATGCCCAGATGACCACATGTGCAGTGAGTCCGGTAGCTAGTTAGAGACAGGATGTGCAATGCCCAGATGTCCACATGTGAAGTGAGGGACGGTAGCTAGGTACAGACAGGATGTGCAATGCCCAGATGTCCACATGTGCAGTGAGTCCGGTAGCTAGGTACAGACAGGATGTGCAATGCCCAGATGACCACATGTGAATTGAGGGACGGTAGCTAGGTACAGACAGGATGTGCAATGCCCAGATGACCACATGTGCAGTGAGGGACGGTAGCTAGGTACAGACAGGATGTGCAATGCCCAGATGACCACATGTGAAGTGAGGTATGGTAGCTAGGTACAGACAGGATGTGCAATGCCCAGATGACCACATGTGCAGTGAGGGACGGTAGCTAGGTACAGACAGGATGTGCAATGCCCAGATGTCCACATGTGCAGTGTGGGACGGTGGCAAGGTACATACAGGATGTGCAATGCCCAGATGACCACATGTGCAGTGAGGGACGGTGGCTAGGTACAGACAGGATGTGCAATGCCCAGATGACCACATGTGCAGTGAGGGACGGTGGCTAGGTACAGACAGGATGTGCAATGCCCAGATGACCACATGTGCAGTGAGTCCGGTAGCTAGGTAGAGACAGGATGTGCAATGCCCAGATGTCCACATGTGCAGTGAGGGACGGTAGCTAGGTACAGACAGGATGTGCAATGCCCAGATGACCACATGTGAAGTGAGGGACGGTAGCTAGGTACAGACAGGATGTGCAATGCCCAGATGACCACATGTGCAGTGAGGGACGGTAGCTAGGTACAGACAGGATGTGCAATGCCCAGATGTCCACATGTGCAGTGTGGGACGGTAGCTAGGTACATACAGGATGTGCAATGCCCAGATGACCACATGTGCAGTGAGGGACGGTAGCTAGGTACAGACAGGATGTGCAATGCCCAGATGTCCACATGTGCAGTGTGGGACGGTAGCAAGGTACAGACAGGATGTGCAATGCCCAGATGACCACATGTGCAGTGAGTCCGGTAGCTAGGTACAGACAGGATGTGCAATGCCCAGATGACCACATGTGCAGTGAGTCCGGTAGCTAGGTACAGACAGGATGTGCAATGCCCAGATGACCACATGTGCAGTGAGGGACGGTAGCTAGGTACAGACAGGATGTGCAATGTCCAGATGACCACATGTGCAGTGAGGGACGGTGGCTAGGTACAGACAGGATGTGCAATGCCCAGATGACCACATGTGCAGTGAGTCCGGTAGCTAGGTAGAGACAGGATGTGCAATGCCCAGATGTCCACATGTGCAGTGAGGGACGGTAGCTAGGTACAGACATGATGTGCAATCCCCAGATGACCACATGTGCAGTGAGGGACGGTAGCTAGGTACAGACAGGATGTGCAACGCCAAGATGACCACATGTGCAGTGAGTCCGGTAGCTAGGTACAGACAGGATGTGCAATGCCCAGATGTCCACATGTGCAGTGAGGGACGGTAGCTAGGTACAGACAGGATGTGCAATGCCCAGATGTCCACATGTGCAGTGAGGGACGGTAGCTAGGTACAGACAGGATGTGCAATGCCCAGATGACCACATGTGCAGTGAGTCCGGTAGCTAGGTAGAGACAGGATGTGCAATGCCCAGATGTCCACATGTGCAGTGAGGGACGATAGCTAGGTACAGACAGGATGTGCAATGCCCAGATGACCACATGTGCAGTGAGTCCGGTAGCTAGGTACAGACAGGATGTGCAATGCCCAGATGTCCACATGTGAAGTGAGGGGCGGTAGCTAGGTACAGACAGGATGTGCAATGCCCAGATGACCACATGTGCAGTGAGGGACGGTAGCTAGGTACAGACAGGATGTGCAATGCCCAGATGACCACATGTGCAGTGAGGGACGGTAGCTAGGTACAGACAGGATGTGCAATGCCCAGATGACCACATGTGAAGTGAGGGACGGTAGCTAGGTACAGACAGGATGTGCAATGCCCAGATGACCACATGTGTAGTGAGGGACGGTAGCTAGGTACAGACAGGATGTGCAATGCCCAGATGACCACATGTGCAGTGAGGGACGGTAGCTAGGTACAGACATGATGTGCAATGCCCAGATGACCACATGTGAAGTGAGGGACGGTAGCTAGGTACAGACAGGATGTGCAATGCCCAGATGACCACATGTGAAGTGAGGGACGGTAGCTACGTACAGAGAAGATATGCAATGCCCAGATGTCCACATGGGCAGTGTGGGACGGTAGCAAGGTACATACAGGATGTGCAATGCCCAGATGACCACATGTGCAGTGAGGGACGATAGCTAGGTACAGACAGGATGTGCAATGCCCAGATGACCACATGTGCAGTGAGTCCGGTAGCTAGGTACAGACAGGATGTGCAATGCCCAGATGTCCACATGTGAAGTGAGGGGCGGTAGCTAGGTACAGACAGGATGTGCAATGCCCAGATGACCACATGTGCAGTGAGGGACGGTAGCTAGGTACAGACAGGATGTGCAATGCCCAGATGACCACATGTGCAGTGAGGGACGGTAGCTAGGTACAGACAGGATGTGCAATGCCCAGATGACCACATGTGAAGTGAGGGACGGTAGCTAGGTACAGACAGGATGTGCAATGCCCAGATGACCACATGTGTAGTGAGGGACGGTAGCTAGGTACAGACAGGATGTGCAATGCCCAGATGACCACATGTGCAGTGAGGGACGGTAGCTAGGTACAGACATGATGTGCAATGCCCAGATGACCACATGTGAAGTGAGGGACGGTAGCTAGGTACAGACAGGATGTGCAATGCCCAGATGACCACATGTGAAGTGAGGGACGGTAGCTACGTACAGAGAAGATATGCAATGCCCAGATGTCCACATGGGCAGTGTGGGACGGTAGCAAGGTACATACAGGATGTGCAATGCCCAGATGACCACATGTGCAGTGAGGGACGGTAGCTAGGTACAGACAGGATGTGCAATGCCCAGATGTCCACATGTGCAGTGTGGGACGGTAGCTACGTACAGACAGGATGTGCAATGCCCAGATGACCACATGTGCAGTGAGTCCGATAGCTAGGTACAGACAGGACGGTAGCTAGGTACAGACAGGATGTGCAATGCCCAGATGACCACATGTGCAGTGAGGGACGGTAGCTAGGTACAGACATGATGTGCAATGCCCAGATGACCACATGTGAAGTGAGGGACGGTAGCTAGGTACAGACAGGATGTGCAATGCCCAGATGACCACATGTGAAGTGAGGGACGGTAGCTACGTACAGAGAAGATATGCAATGCCCAGATGTCCACATGGGCAGTGTGGGACGGTAGCAAGGTACATACAGGATGTGCAATGCCCAGATGACCACATGTGCAGTGAGGGACGGTAGCTAGGTACAGACAGGATGTGCAATGCCCAGATGTCCACATGTGCAGTGTGGGACGGTAGCTACGTACAGACAGGATGTGCAATGCCCAGATGACCACATGTGCAGTGAGTCCGGTAGCTAGGTACAGACAGGATGTGCAATGCCCAGATGACCACATGTGCAGTGAGGGACGGTAGCTACGTACAGACAGGATGTGCAATGCCCAGATGACCACATGTGCAGTGAGTCCGATAGCTAGGTACAGACAGGATGTGCAATGCCCAGATGACCACATGTGCAGTGAGGGACGGTAGCTAGGTACAGACAGGATGTGCAATGCCCAGATGACCACATGTGCAGTGAGGGACGGTAGCTAGGTACAGACAGGATGTGCAATGCCCAGATGTCCACATGTGCAGTGTGGGACGGTAGCAAGGTACAGACAGGATGTGCAATGCCCAGATGACCACATGTGCAGTGAGGGACGGTAGCTAGGTACAGACAGGTTGTGCAATGCCCAGATGACCACATGTCCAGTGAGGGACGGTGGCTAGGTACAGACAGGATGTGCAATGCCTAGATGACCACATGTGCAGTGAGGGACGGTAGCTAGGTACAGAAAGCCATCTATACAGAAACGTTGCCGTGATTTACCGTCAGCGTGCTTATCGACGTCGGGTTGAACGTTACGCTGACTGTTTTGTCAACGTTCCGCATGCGTTGGTGGGAGGGTAATGATGTGGAGAGGACCCCTATACTGGTCATCGATGGCAATTTGACAGGTGTACGGTACCGTGACCAAGTTATCAGTCCTACCCATGGACGTCACATAACTTTTAAAGCTGGACAATGCCATGGTCCTATTGTCACGTCATGGGATTGTCATGACACCACAAACAGCACCAGCCTAAAACTTGTGAAGATCAGTGGAAGAGGTGTCTCCCTCTGACCGAGGTCAACATGATCAACTGCTTGTAGTGATATTCCTTCATGTCTATTTCTGGAGTGATCAGCAGAAATGCCTTTCCGAAATACACGTCTAGAAATAATTGTTACTTGATAAAAGCCGCCAATGCAAGTGGTTATTGGCAAGATAACGGGGAGTAAGTGTGTGTTTGAAGTGAATGTCGAGTCTGAATCAGGGATAAGTTTGAACGAATCACAGGAACGCAGCCGGATAGGTGTGAACGAATCGCAGGAACGCAACTGGCTAGGTGTGAACGAATCGCAGGAACGCAGCTGGCTGGGTGTGAACGAATCGCAGGAACGCAGCTGCCTAGGTGTGAACGAATCACAGGAACGCACGCGGATAGGTGTGAACGAATCGCAGGAACGCAACTGGCTAGGTGTGAACGAATCACAGGAACGCAGCTGGCTAGGTGTGAACGAATCACAGGAACGCAACTGGCTAGGTGTGAACGAATCGCAGGAACGCAGCTGGATATGTGTGAACGAATCGCAGGAACGCAGCTGGATAGGTGTGAACGAATCACAGGAACGCAGCTGGCTATGTGTGAACGAATCGCAGGAACGCAGCTGGCTATGTGTGAACGAATCATAGGAACGCAGCTGGCTAGGTGTGGGTCGGACAGGAACAAGTGAAAAGATACAGATCTTCGCTATTGTTTAGATTACAAAATTTACACTACAATATGCGTGGCGCTCTCCTTGGGTGTTTGCTTGTTTGTTGGAAGCATGATACTCACACACTTGTTCTTGTAATGTGAACAGCGCACAATGATTGGTTAGCTATCTCGTCCTCATAAAAACACTTTAGTTTAACGTTAAATAACGCTTACCAATGCCCCGACGTCCAGCAATTCGCCCAGTTGTGCTTCCACGTCACTGTCAGGCACGCCTCATCTCTGGGTGACATTTGGAATAACAGCGACAAATCCCTTTCCATATCCATAAGAAATATCTGCCATAAGCAGAGCCGATTGTACGATTCCGACCATATCATGAGGAAGTGTTTATGAATAACTATTAAATAGTGATGATACAAGGTGTTCGCGAAAAGGTGAGCGTATCCTGCCCAATCAGTGACACGCGTCACAAACACATACACAGGCAAGTCAAGTGTTCGCCTGAAGAAACACGGGAACGTATGATACAAGTCGAAATAGGGACTTGCATCGGACATCACTTTTGGCACTGATGGGTCAAATTTGGAACTCTCCTCCACATTTTTACCATAACACTGTTTGAAAACTTCACTGGGACCTTGAATGTTGTAACCTTGATAAAACAACTTCTGACCAAGCGTTGCATGACGCTCTTTGAAATCGTGGTAGAAAGAGCACGTTTGATACAGGTAGCTAAATCAGGTGGTTACACAACGGAAAATCCCAATACACAGTTTTGTATATTTCATTCAACCAAAATAGACAATTGTGTATATTTTGTATACCCAAAGGATATCCAAGGTGTGTATATATGGATAGATTTTACCACTGCTTCATTCAGTTTCCTTCAGTTTGTTTGTTTGTTGTTGAACGCGGCACTCGGCAATATTTCAGCTATATGACGGCGGTCTGTAAATAATCGAGTCTGGACCAGACAATCCAGTGATTAATATCATGAGCATCGATCTACTCAATTGGGATATGGTAACATGCAGCATCGTCACCTTTTACGGCAAGCATGGATTGCTAAAGTCTTATTCTAGCCCTTCGAGGATGTTTGGGTTGCTGTTGGCATCGACATTTGCTACAAATATATTAATTAAACGGGAAGCTTATAGAGGATTAAGATAAACACAACACAAACACGCCATATTACACACACGATTGTTTATATGCTACAGTAATAATACAGATCAAGACACATCTTATTCGTTTATAATTTTCTTCTTTTCTTTCGGCGCCGGTTCAGTAATGTGTAGTATTGTGTCATTATTACTTTTCACACAAAAAGTTCAAATTATTTAAACATTTGACAAAGAAATGAAACATTTGAAAACACTAACGTTATGCTAAAAAGAGCGACATGAATGTCGTTGTGCCACCGACTGGTTTTCGCCATTCCTGTCGTGTTATTTCTGAAAGATCCGTGTACAGAGTTGACTTTAGAAACAACTTTTTCTGTAAAACATTTATAAAAGTGCGGAAAAAGTTCGAATTGATTTTTCTTAATTATAATGCCACGAAAGCGAATCAAAACGGTAAGATAAGACAATCGGATCCGTAATGGGTCAGTACTATTATATTATGTCTGTCTATTTGTTGTATAGCGCCGCACTCAGCAATATATTTTTTCAGCTATATGACGGCGGTCTGTAAATTATCATGTATAGACCAGACAATCCAGTGATTGACATTGTTATGTGTATGGGTGTATGCTTTTATATGTTTGTTAGTATATCAGATGCATTTAGACTTGAATTGAAACAAGAAGGCTTGGGTTGTGTAACTTTGCTTGAATACTACACCTGGGGAGCTGGCTGCCTGAGCGGGTTAAGTAATTATGTAACAAGTGAAGCTTGTAGCTAATCAGCATTATAGTATAAGGTTGGGGTGATTAAAAAATAGTAGTTTTTCTGCTTCTTGGGTGTTGGCCAGACCTGTATTTTAACCTCCTCATTTTTAATGTTAAAGTTCAGAACACTGTGTGAGAGATTGTATCCCATGTCGGGGCTGGTGAAACTGAACTAGAAATCATGCTGATATTTGCAAACGTGTGCCTTGGAAAACTTGCAGTGTGAGCTTATGTGCAACTATGGATATATGTGTTTTCGTGGACCAAGGAGTGGAGTGAACAATCAAACATGGAAATCAGGGTGACTATATAAGTATACAATTTGCTGTAGCCCTTTGATGGTGATATTATTTGTACATGGTAGCCCAAGCCTAATTCTCCCATACTAAACTCAGCTGTATTGGTGATCTATCATGCATTGTTAATAAATATCTGTCTTAATTGTTGTGCGATCCTTTCATTGTGCGAATGGATTTGGAGTGTATCCCTTCGTTCCACTTCCACTCGTAACAACATCATGAGCATCGATCCACGCAATTAGGATACGATGATATGCATCCAGGAAGTCAGCGAATCTGATCACCCAATAACCCCGTAAGTGCTCTTGCTGCTAATGTTGTGAAAGCCTAGTGATAGGGAAAGGCGCTTACCTTACAGCGTAAGCTTGGTGAATGGGAGATCGAGATCGTATTAGCTTCTGTGGTTTTCGTCCGTTCGGTCGGCTGTCTAGTCTCAATCTGTCGATTGTCACCTGTCAGATTTGGTGGGTAAGTTGATCACGTGCCTCGATCACACCCGGAAACATACGAGTAACATCGGGTGGCCAATCCGATGTAACCCAATGTACGAGTGTGGAAGCACCAATCACTACATTCCTCCCTCTTTTCTGGACTTGCCCCCCCTTGTGGTCTCAGGAGGACATGGAGGATCTAACAGGTGACCTTGCCAAAACATGAGAAAATCCCTGCAGGGTTGGGCAGTAGTTTTGTGCTATCAACCGAGACAGTTCGCGTAACTCATAGTTATACGCCTTAAATAAGAAAATCCCCAACCAGATTGTTTGGTGGCAACCGAGTTGGTTCACGTAACTTAAATAGACGACAAAGCTGCTAAGAGAATCCAAGAATCTAGACCGGATCGTCGGACTCAGTTCCAGTCCTGACCAAGTCAGATTAGGACATTGTTTCTATGAGAATCCTAGAATCTAGACCGGATCGGTGGACTCAGTTCCAGTCCTGACCAAGTAAGATTAGGACAATGTTTCTATGAGAATCCTAGAATCTAGACCGGATCGGTGGACTCAGTTCCAGTCCTGACCAAGTCAGATTCAGAAATCCCATTCACCTGGCGTGAATAATTATACTCTGTACAGCTGCCTTGCGTTGACATAAGCACGCTCCAGGATGTTGGCGGTGGTACTCTGTCGGGCAGCGGCCACCATAGCTGCAACTTCACCCAGTAGTCTTGGGCTGTTAACTCCTCGGCGACCTGGGCGAGGCCACAGATATGGGGCATCAGTCTCCAAAAGGAAGCACTTGGCATTAAGGAACCGCAACGCTGATAGTTGTTGGTCATCAAAGCTGGCCACCATCCCGTTGTATCCAAACCACGTCTCAGGGAAGTGCTTGGTCCACAGTGCCACTTCTTTAAATGACCCAGAGAAACAATGGAGATGGAATCTCTGGGTGGACGGTACTCCAGCAGCCTTGGCAATTTGTAGGCATTCCTGTAGTGGAGCCTGTTGATAAGTGTCTGCGGTTGTGCCCCTGAGGTGGAGGATGATTGGCTTGGTTGATGGTGCCAGCTTGAAGAGCTGCCCTAGGACTTGCCCTTGCCGTTCCCAGTTTCCCACAGTGAAGTCCAGGCCAATTTCCCCGAAGGCGATTACATCCTGGGATGATAGCAGGTGCCTTAACTTGTCTAGTTGGTCGGGGTCCATGGCCTGCACATTATTTTGGTGGAAACCGACAGCTGTCTTCCAACACTGATGGAAAGTTGGTTGTTGGGGCCAGGTTGGTGGGTCGCAAAAGATCTGTAGCGCCTTCTGAAGGTTGATGGTTACCTCTTTTGGCTGGCCGGCCTTGTCCAGGACCTCTTCCAGGGGTGTGGCAGCGTCCAGATGGAGCCTGCTGCGCATCCTATTGGAGCGGAAATGGGTGTCAAAACCCCTGGGAAGTCTCTCTGGATTCGGCGGCGCTGAGGATGGAGTTGGTCGAGTGGACGTTCCGGGAAGCTCTGCTGTTTGCGTGGCTTGCACAGATGGCGATGGTCCTGGCAGTGGCAGAAGGTTCCCGAAGTTCCTGAAATGGTTTCGGACTCCATCCGAGGTGACATCCAGAAGGGCTACCAAGATCCTCCAATGTATTAGGCAGGCAGGGCTATCCGGCGACAGGTTGACAGAATCCAATGGTAACAGCCATCCTTTGATGTTACACAACTCTTTTATATGCCCGTAGCAGCTTCCTCTTAGGGGTATGTCTTTGGGAACAAGGCTATTCCTTAGGACGAACTGGTGTAATTCCGTCCAGGTAGCTCCTGCTCCCAAGATCTGCCGGGCAAGGTCTTCTATGGCCGATATCATGTCAATTGCCGTTTCTTGTGACGCTGGTACGGAGTCACGGAAACAGGGGGAGAGGTGAGCTCCGTAGGCATGGTGGCGCAGCGTCCTGGTTCTTTTACCGCACGTCCGTATTGGACAGCTCGATCCCATTCCGTGGGGATGACTACTCTGGAATCGAGCTGCTATTTTCGGGGCGGCCTTGTTAATGACAGAGACGCTCAGCCCTTGGTTGATTGACCTGACCTGTCGTGAGGGAGAAGCCTGGTGCCGTGGCTCTGGGGCTTGCCTCCTTGACATAGGGCGTCGATCCCATCTGGGGGAGACATGTCGCTCCTGCCTGGGAACTTCCCGTCTTGGGATATGTCTATGGGGCGAAGGTCGTCGTTCCCGTCTTGGAGAGACATGTCGCCGGGGTGAAGAGCGCCGTTCCTTTCTGGGAGCGGCTCGTCTTACAGGGGAGGAGTGCTGCCTGTGTCTTGCAGTGTTGTAGTACACAGACACCTGACGACGGGGTGATCGCCTGGGTGATTGCCGGCGTGATTGTCGGTAAGACGGGCGTGGTTGGACTTTTCGCTCCCGGCTGGCAACAGGAAGATAGACGACAGAGGCCACCTGCCGTCTATCCGGGCTCTGACAGGCTCGCTTCCTGGATGATTTGATGTGATCCTCAGGGCTTCTTTTCCTGGAGTGTGCGGCCTGGAGCTGGTATCCACTATCCTTGGATGTCTGGGATAGGTCTGGTACATGTCCCAGGGATACCTCTGGTTGATCCGACATTGATCGTTCATGATGAGGGGCAGGGGATCTTCTTCCGGGAGATGTTGGAGCTCCTAGGCTGGTCTGGGAGCCCGAAGACATAGATAATAAGTCTCCAGCCCAGTAGGAAGTCGATGCATCCCTGCTCCTGGCTCCATGGCGTTCGCTGGAGCGTCCTCGTCTTTGGAATACCATTTTTCTGAAACATTTGAGTTTTCCCTCTAGGATACTCTGTCCTTTCCTGTGGTGCAGTGAGGACAAATGTATTCATCCAGAGCGTTTGCTGTTCTCTTGGTGATTCCAACGCAGGCTCCATGAAACCATTGGTCACAACGGTCACAGCCTATCATTAATCGTCCATCATCGGGTTTATTACAGATACAATAATTTCTTTGCTTCTTGAAGAGCCACTCCAAGTTGAGATCCTCTTGAGTATCAGAAGTACTCTTTGTCTTAGATAACCTCTGGATCCAACTTGGAATTACGCGATCTCGACAAGGCTTGAGGCGATCATGGTGATGTACTGATGTTGTCTTCCTTGTCCGGACTTCATATAGTGTATTGGAAATCCTAGTAGTGATTATCCCGGGTCCTTTCCAGGATGGAGACAACTTCTTGCACTTTCCTTGTATGGAGGCAGTGTCCAGTATATACACCATCTCTCCCTCTTCAAACTTTGGGGACAAAATCCTCAAATCGTAATCCCTCTTCATTTGGAGCTGGGTAGTTTGCAATTTATTACGGGCAAAGCGATGTACCTCACCAAGAGCTGAGGCTAGCTGATGCACATATGTGTCAGGGTTCAAGGATGGAGATTCCTCCTGGGTGGCGCTGAAGACTAGCTCTGCAGGTTGATTGATTTCCCTACCAAGCATCAGCATGTTGGCGGTATATCCCGTTTGCCGATTAACTGCAGACCTCAATGCTCCTGCCAGTTGTGGTAAAAATTCATCCCACCTGGATTGATTTGCATCTATGTGGCAACGAATGGCTTGCAGGAGGGTGCGATTAAATCGCTCCACTTGTCCATTAGCAGAGGGACGATATGGGGTTGTCCTGGTTTTATGTATCTGTAGTAGGGTGCAAAGTTCAGTGAACAATTTGCTCTCGAAGTTTCTTCCTTGATCTGTAAATACTTTGAAAGGGCAACCAAATCTAGAGAAAAAAACATCTACGGCAGCTTTGGCTGTCACCTCAGCCGTTTGGGTAGGCAAAGCTATGCACTCCACCCATTTGGTGAATTGGTCAACCATCATCAAGATGTATTGATTACCCAACTTGCTTTTGGGCAAGGGGCCAATGAAATCAAGATGAACTCTTTCCATGGGTGCCCCTGCATGAAAGTTGATCATTGGTGACCGGGCATGTCGTACAGGTCCTTTGTTTCGGCTACATGTTGAACATGTGCTTACATACAACTTGATATCTTGTACCATGCCATGCCAGTAGAAACGGGTTTTAACTCTATAGATTGTTTTTTCCATTCCCAGATGTGCCGCAGCCATGACATCATGATTCAACCTTAGCACTTCTTGCTGTAATGATTTCGGGACCACCAGGGATGCCATGCCTCGTGTTGTCTTTTCTTTTATGAGAGGATCAACACGTAACAATCCCTGCTTGTCAATCTGAAATAGAGTTCGGTTCAACCAATAGTGTTTAGCTGCGGGACTGGCCAAGAAGAGACTTGATTCACTCGGCTCCTCAGCAGTTTGAATCCAATCCATTATAATGGTTAAGTCTGGATCAGATCTCTGCTGATTGCATATTTCCTCGGATGAATACCCAAATTGTTCTTTCTGCCCGTCATCAGTCACAACAAGTCTTACGGGCACTGGGGTGGTGTTCATTTGGAAACCCGAATCCCCAATGGATTGTATTTCAAGACAGGAGACCGGCAGGCCACAATCATCAGGTGAGTCATCATCGGAGAGGCAATCCCGCCCAACATGCGCCAGAGGAATGGTGTCATCCACATCCCTGAAGAACCTACTCCAATTTTCATGAGCCCGAGTGCAATATTTGCATCCTCCACATGGCAAACTTTTCAACATTACTTCTGGTCTGTAGTTGTGGCAGTGGCCTCCTTGTGGAATTCGTGATAGACTGTCCGCATTGGTATGCAGTTTTCCTGGGCGATGTTTCACCATCAAGTCATATTGGCTCAATTCTTCCAGGCACCTGGCCAATTGGCTATTTGGATTCCGGGAGTTTAACAGCCATTGGAGACTGCTGTGATCAGTCCTAACAGTAAAACGCCGTCCCAGCAGATAGTGTCGAAACTGCCTTGTAAATCTGATTACTGCCAATAGTTCTTTTCTGGTTGTGCAGTATCGTTTCTGCTCGGCGGTCAGGCCAAAACTGCCAAAACAAACTACTCTCTCCTCTCCATTTTGAACTTGGATCAGTTCTGCTCCTATGGCTTCATCCGAAGCATCTGTATCCAGGATGAAAGGGTCCTCCTTGGTAGGTAATGCCAACACAGGTGTATGGGTTAGAGCATGCCGCAAGGACGAGAAAGATTGCTCCTGCTCATCATTCCATTGGAATGCCTTCTTACCCGTTATTCGATACAACAGGACTGCCATAGAAGCATAGTCCCTGATAAACATCCTGTGGTAGTTGGCAAAGCCAAGGAACCTTTCAACATCCTTGGTACAGGTGGGGTGGGGCCAGGTAAGTACCACTTTGAGGCCATCATTGTTGGCCTCAAGGCCATCTTGGCTAACTACGCGACCGAGAAACTCAACCCTCTGCTGAAACAGTTCACATTTGCGAGGTTTCAATTTGAGTTGATAACTTCGGAATCTCTCGAAGATGGATCGGAGATTAGTCAGATGGTCTTCAACATTGGTACCCATCACCAAAATATCGTCCAAGAATGCCAGTGCGATATCCTAGGTCAATCCTCTCAACACGAGGTTCATTACCCGTGAATATGTTGCTGGAGCATTACAGAGTCCAAATCCCATTCGAATATGTTCGAATAGACCATACTTGGTGATGAAAGCAGTTTTTTCGCGATCCTTTGGAGAGATTTTCACTTGCCAATAAGCTGAGTTTGCATCTAGCTGAGAGTACCAGAGATTACCAGCGAGCGTATCAAGACAATCTTCCACCAGGGGCAACTGAAATACGTCTTTTTTCGTGACGTCATTCAGACCGCGATAATCGATGCACCAACGTACTGTGTTATCGTGTTTGCGTATTAACACAGGGGGTGCAGCCCATTCTGATACAGAAGGTTGAATGACTCCGGCATCTAACATTTTCTTGAGATGTGTCTCTTCCTCCTTCTCGAATCCAAGTGGTGTTCTTCACATACGCTGTTTAATCGGTTTAGCGTTTCCAGTATAAATGGAATGTTCAAGTTCAGTAAAGTTCCCCAAATCCAAGTCATCTTTGGCAAATACACCTTGATAGTCTGTGAGAAGTTGTGCCAGTTGATGCACTTCCTGACCTTGCAGTAGCTTTGATGACCTTTCAAACAGACTTGTCAGATGAGCAGGGATGTTGGGTTGATAACCACTTCTAACAGCCGCAGATTGTTCCGAGGGGGATTCGACATGATGTATTTCCATGGCAACCCCTAAGACTTGACGAGGCTGTAGCACCACTTGATGATCCGAAGGATTGACAAGGCACACAATGGGTACGCTTCCTCCAGTTTGATAAGTCCTGGGCATCAGAAGATCATTACTTCTTAGGCGTGGCTCTATCATGAAATCTGAGAGTTGCTTTGATATAGGACATTCAAGTTGCTGTACCGAATTCGGCGGAATGATGGTCTTCTTCCATACTGAGATTCTGGATACTTGCGGTACCTTTTGAGAACGGCATAGAGTCATTTCAATGGTATCAGATCCAATCTGTAGTAACTGTTGAGTCAAGTCAAGATGTGCCCCTTGGGGAACTAAAAAGTCCAGTCCCAGAAGAACATCATCTTGGATTGGGCCCACTACTACAGGAATCGAATAGGTTTTGGACCCTAATTGTAACTGGAGTGGTTGTGTTACAAATGAGGACATATGTAAGTCCCTGCCGGCAGTTCTCAACTTGATGTCCTGCTTCTTCTCAGGCTTCTGTGAGAGTGTTTTGTAAAAAGTGTCCGAAATAATGGTAACCTCAGCCGCCGTATCCACCACTGCAGTTGTGTGCTGGTCTTGGATTTGGACTGGTACCAGAAACATGGATCCACTTTTTAATTGCCTAACTGTGATTTCTGGAATTGACAGATTGTCGTCATCTGAAGTACTGGTTGACCCGAGAGCTGTAGGCTGAGTGTGGGAGGTCAGAGATGGATAATGTCCAGGGGGTGGCGACAATGGAGGGGCTGGTGACAAAGGAAGTTTAGGGGGGTGGCCTCCTTCAGTTTGGATCAAGTCCCAGAAGAATATCATCTTGGATTGGGCCCACTACTACAGGAATCGAATAGGTTTTGAACCCTAATTGTAACTGGAGTGGTTGTGTTACAAATGAGGACATATGTAAGTCCCTGCCGGCAGTTCTCAACTTGACACTGCAAAAAAAATCCATATATACAAGCTTGTATATCCTTTGGAAAGATGATATTTCCAAAGGATATACAAGATTGGAAAGATGATATATACAAAATATACAAGTTTGTATATATGACATATACAAAATATACAAATTTGTATATATGGTGTATCCAAATTTGTTTTGTTTGTATATATTGGTAAAGGGAGATAATTATTATGTATTTGTGTATAATTATGATATATGTGCAAATTGAAGTGTTTTAAGTTGAGCACTGTGTTTCTTTGTATATGTTGGTAAAGGAGGATAATTGCTATGTATTGCTCTATAAATGCTTTGTATGTGCAAAATAGTATCAGCAAGTTACAAAAAACTGATTTAGTGGCGGGTAACATTACTGGAAGGTTTAATTAGTACTCCACACTGTTAGCGGGAGTACATACTGTCCTTGCAATGATATTGACGGGTGGGCGGTTGAGGCGTCTGGTACTTTTCCTGGCGCGGTGCTTGGTATGTGAGTAGACTTTATGGTCAAATGCACAGAGGGGATTAGCTGTCGGGGGCGATTGCTTTGGCGGTAACTTCTGTATTGAAAGTGTTTGAGCTTGGATTTGTTTTACGGGGAGGCCGCGATGTGTTTTGTAACATGCTCTCGTGCACATATGCCAACAGAGTGGATTGCACAGAGGATGAAAACTATTTTATCACTACTTAAAAGTGTTGAATTTGGTTTGTTCTGAGCTGTCGGTTTCATTGTAGATATACATTGTTATAATGTGAAATCTCGGCGGAAACGCGGAAAATCGCGTTTTGTAAAACGGTAGTCCTTGGGGAAAATTGTATTATGAGCAACCGGATGCGTAAATAACGTGCGTAATATATTCCCGTATTATATTTTATAATACTTGTTCTTTAAATATTTTATCAATGCGAGAACGAAGATTACCTTGAAAAAACACAACAGCATGCATATGTTCTAGCAAAAGGAAACTTGATATATATTCATTTGGCTTAATTTCTACTTTGGAAAACTTAGTTGGCGCTCTAAAAGCTTGACGCTGTATAATTTGGCACGCGCATGGTTGGGTGCAAACCATATGTACATCAATAATAATAGTAAAAATAATAATAATAATAATAATACATCATGATGGCAGTTTCAATGTAAAGATTAAGTATTTTTAAAGATATGGAAAATAAATCTTGATAACTGCTTTAATCTTTGATCTTTGGGAAAATAATAATGGAATTGGTTGAGTGACTAACGTATTCTACTTTAAAAGTGACAGGAACGTGATTTACATAATTAAAATATAGAATAATATACAAATTATAAGAAAGGGTTTGTGATTTATTTTGGGATGAAGTCAGTATTTAACTTGCGCTTTCCGACATTATGCGTATTTCGCACACGGTTAAGAAAAAAAATGCAATTCATTTATTTATAAAAAGTACGAATGCATCAATCCTACATCACAGGACCATGTACATAATTTGTTGAATGTTATTTCATGAATACACAAATTGCATAACACATTCCCTGAGGACAAACCCAAATTGCCCGTCCCTTTGTGACAGGTGTTAATTAGAGAATGTATTGCCACCATATTATGTCCCGGCACTTTTATGACATGTAATGAACCTAGTCAATCCCTGGGTCTGTAACAACAACATGGGTCTAATAAAATCAAAGTAACATAAATGTTACGTCATTCGAATTAAAAAAGAGACTGAAAAAATGTAACATGAATATAATTGCCCTTTTGAGGGTAATATAATTTTGGGAAAATATACGTTTTCTTGTATTTATGGACGACTTCACACAAGCTGAAAAATTTAACATATGTTTATATAGCTATATTTACATACATGGCATTAACATGTAATAATAATATTGATCATGTTTGTTAATTTGTACATTTCGTTGTTATTGGTATCCTGAGTATGTTGTAATAATGCATGTGTTCTGATCTTATTTGACGTAGATTACATGAACTAGTAGAGTGACTTTCTTTCATCAGCGTGGAAGGATTACCCACACATATACCCTTAATCCTTTGTCAAACAGAAAGAAGTCATATAGATATCATATCTAACTGGTACTAAAAGTTCACTATCAATCTCCTCTGATAACAAACTTACATTTAATATCCCCAAGCTACAATACCAAGCATGCTCATGGAGTAATTATGAGAAACCCGAATGATATCCTGTCTACGTGGTCACACCCGGTGATTGTTAAGACATTCAGACAATATGGCAGTCTGTATTCATTTCTTATATCCCAAAAGTCCCCACCAAGCTTCCTTTTATTAACATTGGGATGAGGGGAGATATACATATTGTATTAAATAATACATCAATACATCAAAACAGAACAAAACAGATAGGTCAACAGTGCGGTTGATGGAAAGGGGTTTGCTAAGAAAAGTTATTTAACTCTTTAATACTTAATACGTGTCTCAAAGTATGTATTAAGTCTTACTACTAGTTATTATATATGTGCAAATCCACCCGAACGTCGGATGTACATGGCCGATTTCAAAATAGCTAAATTAGGCACTGTTCAAATTGTTTCCAATAAACCACTGATTAGAAACTCACTTAACCTTTAGAATAGAATCGTTTCTAAATATATAGTTGGGGCATGTGTAAAAATTAATGCAGTGTACCATTGTGACAGCCACAAGAGCATGCATGATGTGTTATCTGAGATGTGTTTTTTAAGCCGATGGAAGTTTAAAGTGACAAAATCTGGTATCATGGCTTAACTGAATATAACATTGTCTAAGTTTAATAATCCTCTTTTTCGGGTGACTATTCCAATTATTAATGGTTTCAGGTAGGAATGACTTGCATTCAGTTCTACAACGTATAGCCTGTGAATTGGTTAGATTTCTTTATATGTAATCACTAACAGCAAAGATGTTTTCCACCTTGTAAAAAGGTGTAATTGCTACGTTGGTCTCACTCTACATTTTCACGTGGCTTGTACCTCTTATTGGCCCACAAATAGTCCGTAATCAGTGAGTGGGCGAGGTAAAAATTAACGTCTCATCGGCATTATTTCAGTGTCCGTAATGAATTAATGTGTAGACATTCTAGGATTAATTCTTTTTCTTTGGTACAATTATCCAAAACATGGGAGCAAAATATTGGCAATATATATATGCTTGTTCATGACTTATGTAAAAGGGGTTATTTATCTGAGTGATTGAGTATGGTTCACGGCGGTGGACACCAGAAAGGTATTTAAGACAATTAATCATAGGGCTTACCTCGTTAACTCGCCAATATCATAATCTGACTGAAATATTAATACCAAAGTCCTTTCATTTTAAGATTAGGTTTTGCACTTGGGCACACTTTGACGTGATATTGAACAGTTTTCTTTTTCCCTGGATTAAGTTTTACTTGCATTCATTCATTTGGTAATTTTCTCCAAATTGGCATTAATATTTTATGCAGTAGTATTTGGAACTGTCCATTTTGGGAATAGGGTTGACCCCACCGCAAGCACAGTAAACAGAAATTCCAAGGTGAATAATATGTACTATAGTTTGTTGGCTCGACATGCAAGACTCCATAATTTTAGCTATAAATTCATAGTAATATTAAATTAATTTTTTTTATAAAGAATTCATTGATGTATTTGACATGAGACGTAGCGACACTCATGTATTTTATAATAATGTACAATTTCAATGCCTTAAATCTGTTGCATTAAACAAATTCTTTGATTTGATGTTGTCATATTGTGACTCAATTTGTGTCTAGTCTTCCAAATGTTCTATTGCGAATACATATAGTGTCAGCGCTCATGATCGCCATATCTATGAATGGATGAAAATATCATCATTAATAAACTTACCTGAGCTCAATATGTGTTCTGAAGACAAATCGCTGTAAAGCATCTTGCACCCTCGTTCACCCTCAAATGTACGAAAGGAAAATCTGCAACTGTGCGTGTTCAATGTTCGTTTGCATTTTTGTGACAGGCGGTCGTTATTTTCATTAAGATTCCACAAATTCATAAATCACAACTGATGTAGCTGCCTTGGTTAACTGGAGTCAGGATATAACTAATTACAAACTCTGTTCTAATTATGCTAATCGAGGAAGTGCATTATACTGGATGACAAACTTAGTAATCCTTTCACACTAATCCTTGTTTACAATGAACGCATGTCAAATGACTAAATAAACATCCTTTTTTATTTTCTTAAGTAGAAGTATCACAATGGGCGGTGAACACAACTGTTTGTAGAATGATAGTTTCAGAAAGGAATACAAATACAAATATACAGAAAGGGGTTTAAAATGGTTTCTTTCTTTGCATCCACGCATTGTTGTTGTGGATGCGGTTATTTGCTGTCGGAATTGTTTTTGCAATTCAATTAGTTAATTACATGTCACATGACAACTGCATGTCACGGGGGCCTGGACATAAATCACGTGGTGCACTATTAGGCCTATAATAACCCCCAACCTTGATTCTGCATCAATTCAAAAACTCCTGAATCCTCATCGACTCCTGAACACTTAGATTTTGACGTTGTCATCTTGATCATCAGAACCATCAAAGGCGGCAAAATACAGTAAGCAACTTTTCTCCCACTTTTCAATTCAGATGTAGACAAGTACAACACGTTTAGTAATGATTTAAAAAATTGTACGAGTTTCTTAGTGTCAATAATTAGTAGAACAGACGTAAAACAGACATACGAATGGACACGTTATAGACAACAATCCTATATATTTTAGTAACAATGATTAGTTGGAGTGACCAGTATATATTTGCAAAAAATAGATTTATAAAAGTTCAGCTTATTAAGTACAATACACCCATCAAATAGAGCTGCATGTGTCAGGGACCCAATCTAGATAGCGCCAACATCTA